TAAATAGATATGAGATTAATTTTTCTAATGTAAATTAGAGTGAATTATGAGTCCAAAATTTCCTGTGGTTTGCCCCACCCACCACTGAAGGTGTATAAAAGGCTCTGGACAGATAGTGACATTCAGACTGAGGTCACTCGTTTTCTGATCCTTCACCGACCCTCCACACCTGACACTATGTGCTACTACGGCAACTACTACAACAGCCTGGGCTGTGGGTACAGTGGCCTGGGTTGTGGCTATGGCTGTGGCTATGGCTGTGGCTATGGCGGGTGTGGATATGGTTGCTGTCGCCCATCATGCTGTGGGAGATACTGGTCCTACGGATTCTACTGAGAAGCTTCTACTGGCACTCCATTACTCCTTTTCATGTGTTTTCCGACTGCCCTGTCTCAGTTTGTCTCTCTTTTAGATAGCAATCATCTCATCTTAGGTACTTCAGGAAGAGAGGATAGTTTAAATTCTACATCCATCATCTCAATTGAATGTAATCCTCTGGAATGTCTTGCTTTATGAAAGATTGCTTTTTCCTCTTGTGACTGTATTGCAATTATTGTCTTACATGTATTTTAGTTTAACATCCTTTATGTGAAACAAATTTGATTTCATCTTTCAATAAACTCTCCTGTATAGACTATATTGCTTTTTCTGCATTCCTTTTGTTACATCTGTTACATGCATATATATTTGTCAGAGACCATTATTATGACATAAATATTGCCTACATGCTATAAGATGATAGAAAATCAAAGCCTAAAAATCAGTTATTTCTAAATAAAACATACTTTTGATGAATCTCTAATCACTCTGCAAGCATTCACTGTTTTAAAACGTTAGTCAATATGTTAATTTTACAAGTAATGAATAAATCCCACAACAATATCCATATTTCCCAGCACTATGTTCTAGGCATGCAGGTGTTTGACTGCTTGCTTATACACCACTTTGGGGTATCTAAGATTGTGTTTTGCTGCTGCATTTTGGATTTTTCACTTCTTAAAGGATCATCTTCTATTCTCTAGCATATATGTGTACATTTAAACCATATCCAACATCTGAGGGTAGCACACTGAGTGCATTTGAGCATCAGAATTGTCTTTGAGAATTCCTAGACAGTGTACCTTATTACTACATTAGTATATCAAGCATAAAATTTAGGTAGCTGTTTTCATAAAACAGTGGTTTTGAATTTTATATTCCAGCTTCTCTTTTGAAGATATACAAGCTTATTTTATATTATATAAAACTATATCTAGATCATGTCAGAAGAAAAAAATCATAATAATGCCATTTCAATATCAGTCCATTTTAAACTTGTTTTGGTTTAACATTTTATGTCATTTTGCTCTTTATTTGATGTGAGAATTTAACCAAAAGATTTATAGAGATAGGAAACATTCCAATATAAATATGTTGCATGTTGCATATGTTAATATTTAAGAATAATATATGTGGCCAACCAATTCTTTGAGAATTGCAGATTTATAATGACATTTATGGTTTGCTATAAAATATTAGAAGTCATGCCTCAATTTCTCAGTATACAAAGTATTTTGAAGTGTTTATCTCTCAGGTAAAGCAGAATTTTCTCAAATGACTTTCTACAAATATTATAGTCTATCATATGAAAAGAAAATTAAATAATACTAGGAATACAATATTGTTGGTAGAATATTTCAGCACCTAGGACAGTGCCTGGAAGTAGTGAGCCTGAGTTTTTTGGTTTTGTTTTTTAATTAATGAGTGGAAAATGAAATAATCACTAAATAAGTCTGGCATAACTTTGTTAATGTTTTATGTGACTTTCATGCTTTAAAATTAGGTGCTATATTTATACAGGAAAGATTCACTTTATTATACAAACTGTAATAATATACAGTGATTGAATATATAAAATAATAAAATAATTTTTAAAAATTAGGTGCATATGAAAAAGCATGGATTTTAACACATTTACACATACATCTCTTTCCAGAGCCTCAATACCCAAATGACTTTATTTTATCCAAATGGTACTCTTCACACTCTTCCCAGAGTAAGCTCAGAAGAAAATATGAATTCATTACCAGTGGAAAGTAGGGGGTTTGCATTTCTCCATCTTTTACCTCACATTCCTAGAACCATGAATGAAATATGATGGATACATAGAAAACAAGTATTATACCAAACCCTCTGATGTTTTTGAGAAAAGAACTGACTTTTTTTGTCTATCACTGATGAGCATCAGCACCCTGTGGCAAGAAATTAAAAGAAAAAAAAAAAGAAAAAGGAAAAAAAGAAAAAAGTTAGAAAGAACTGTTTTGTACACTAAGAACTGTCTAACAACATAGAGCAAATTTACTTTCTTATACATGGTTAGAAAACCTTCATCAGTTTTCTCATATGTTCCTGTATGGTGACTTTCATGAAGGTGTTGCTGAAGGTTACGCTTGTAAAAATGCAATTCTATATATAAAATAAAATCTCAGGACCAACAGATGGTGTAATGGTTATCTCACTGGACTCCCACATAGTCGACTGCAGTTCAAGTCCCAGATATGCCAGCTTGAAACTCATGCTGGGTATGTGTGCATGTATGCCCAAAATCCTGAGGAGAAACTAGAGAAGGGATTACAGCATGGCGATCCTCAACCCTTCCTCCTGGGAGGTTAATGATTTCTCACTTTTTGTCTCTCTGTCTCTCTCTGGTAAGTATACATACCCTATGGCAAAAATCTCTCTAAAAAATGAAATTTCATCATTTCCATAATTTCAAAATGTAATTTTGAAGCTATGGGAAACTTTTTTTTTGGTAAAACATATATAAAATAGTAATTTAATGTAAGAAAGAGAAGTCCAGTTTTTTCACTCCTGGTGTTTGCAAATTTAGAACTATCGGCTTTTTGTAAACAATATCATGAAGCTAAGTGATATCTTCCTATAGTTTATCAATAAACCACCTCTCAAGTAAAAATGAGGAGAATTCTTTTAAAAAATAAATTTGGGGACCAGCAGTTTGCATAATGGCTATGTCGCTGAACTCCCATGTAGTCAACCAGGTTCGAGTCCCAGACCCAGTGGCTTAAACTTACACCGGGCGCATGTGCATGGGTGCCCAGGATCCTGAGAGGAGAATGGTGAGAAGGGATTGCAGCATGGCCATCCCCCCTGGGGAGTGATTTCTCACTTTCTGTCTCTCTGTCTCTCTATCTTTCTGGCAAGCACATGCGCCCTATAGCAAAAACTTCTCCAAAAAAATAAAAATGAGTTTGGAGCATAGGGAAGACATGCTGAAGCTGAAGTTCAAGAGATTGTATTAACTGCTGAATGTCAACGAAAGCAAGGTAAAAATTACATTAACTATTTACCATTTATCGTGAGTATATTGGTCACCTGGGCAGTGTGTCTCAGTGTGGATGGCTTTATTTGTGTCTCTGATCAACTACAGGTCAGGGAGACATTGTTCTGATGTAAGAGACTCTCTCCTATACTTGGAGTTTGGCTGGCTTCAGGCGGTGATGCCTCAGTTTTCTTTCATGTGGTCTTCTATTCTCTAGGAGGCCAGCCCAGAATTGTCCTCATAACAGGTATAGCAGGATGCTAAGACGAGGAGTTGAAAAGCTAAACATCTCTTGAGATCTGATCTAGAAGACAGCACTTACACTGTTTTCCATTAGCCAAAACAATTCTCCAACCCATCAGAGATTTAAACAGTGAAATAGGACTCTATCCTTGTTAGGAGAAGCTGGAAAATCATAAGGTACATATATCTAAGGAAGAACAAAGAATTTATAGAATTTTAGTACGCAATCTACCAGTATAACAATAGTTATGTTGGTCTCTTCTTATAATTTCTAGGGTATGTATAAGTAGTTTGAGAGAAATGTTTTTCAGCCACAAGGTAAAATAATGTTTTCCGGGAAATCTCCTGTAGCAAAGAATAAGGAGAAAATAAAAAAATGAACAAATTGATATTTGAGGATCACCTGCTATTGAAAGTTTATTTTGAATTTTTTTCCAAGAGAGAGAGAGACACAGAGACAGAGAGAGAAACAGACACTCCAGAATGGTCTTCATGATACAGTCTACTACCAGCCCCAGCCATTCTGGATCATGACAGATGTGCATGCCTCACATATGCCATGAGGCTTTGGACATGAACCTTAGACCGCCCCATGTGGCCTCAGAATCATAGAGTATTGCTACTGATGGGCCGCTGCAACTGGTCTAGTTCAATGTGAAATTCATTAAATACAGCAAGCTTACTGTTTATATAACTCAAAATAAAATTCAGCCATTAATTTAAACATTTATGAATAGACCTATCTTAAGAAAAGTGGTTTGTATCACTAATTTTCTAACAATTTAATCAGAGAAGCTAAATGTATTCTACACATACAAGCAAAAATAAGATTTAAAAAGGCTATTGGAAATGCAGGGGAAGCAAACCTTAGAAGACATCCTCACTACCTCACACAACACCGCTAAATATCAAAATCTTTCTCTATTTTAATGCCTTTTATTTTATTCTCTTTTCTGATTGTTTTGGCTAGGAGTTCCAGCAATTTCACTCCTGGATATCTACCCAAAGGACAGGAAAGCTCTCAGTCAGAAAAACATTTGCACATCTATATTTATTGTAGTACTATTCACAATTGGTAAGATATCAAACCAACCCAAATATCCATGAAAAAATGAATGCATTGAAAAAGTGTAGAACATACACGCTAGAGAATACTACTCATCCATTTAATAGAAGAAAAAAAAGAGTGAGAGACCCTGGCATTTGATAGAAAGTGGACAAGTATCTAAGATATACTGCTAAGTGAAGCAAGCCAGAAAATGGAAGAGAGGCATTGTATGTCCCAACTGAATATATATGGAACTTTGCCACTCTATGGCAGAAACTAAATGATTAGAACATATAAAAGCATGAAGAGCAAAGATGATACTAGAGACAGTGTGGGTAGAATGGAAATTGGCAATGGTGAGAGGGAAAGAATCAAGGGTAAGAAGAAGCAGCAAAACATTTAAGGGACCCAAAATGGAAAGAAATCTGTCCATTATAATGTTTATGGTAATGTATTTGACTTGACCAATATATAGTGTACTCATGATAAGAAAATTAATTTGGTATACTGCAATGATACACAGTGATTAAGTGTATTTTTTAAAAAAAAAAAGAAAGAGAAAAGAAAAGAAGGTAGGGACTGCCTCAAGTGGGGGACCCAATAAGTGTATCTGAGAATGCATTTGTTCCCAACCTACAGTGGTTTGGCTTACAAACTTATTAATTAACAATGGTGCAAAAATCGTAAGCATACAGTAGAAACCATATACAAGCCAAAGCAAGTAATGTGGGGGCACACCAAGATGAAGGGCGTTTTAAAGAAACAGACCATCAGGATCCCTGCAATTTGAAAATACACAGTGAAAAAAGAAAGACCCATAAAAAACTAAATTCTGGATGTAGAAAGTACACAAATTACTCCTGACAGGAACAAGGAGGGAGAGGCTTCATGTCATTTGAAAGGAATTAATTAGACCAAGGAGATTTCAGTGGATATCAGAGAAACAATGTGTATTTACTTCCCCCAAAAGTAAAGAGTGACACAAGGACTCTTGTGAAGGTCATTTATTGAGCATGTGATTTCATAAGCAGCAGAAACAATACTCCTCCATTTTCAATTTCTCTCTCCCCAAGCCAGGACCTCACCGGTTTATGTTTTTTGGTGCTAGGGTAACTCAGACTTCATTAAAAAGAAAAAAAAAAATATATATATATATACACACACACACACATACACACACACACACACACACACACACACACACACACAAATATATATATATATATATATACATATAAAAACATATATATAAATATTTAAATACACACACATATATGCATGTGTGTGCATATATATACATATATATGTGTGTGTATATACATACATACATGTGTATATATATAATTTTATTCATTTATTACATGAGAGAAAAAGAGAAAGACAGAGAGGCAGGCACCCTTAACAAGGTATTCACATCATGAACCACCCCGCCCCCCGTCTCAGCTGACACAGATTATGGCCATGCACACTCACATCTGGCGGCTCAGGGAGGCTTTCCTATTGGGTCCAGTTGTAACCCCATGGATCCCTCTCTGATCCACACCTTAATTCTTGAGGGTCTGAGTTTCTGCATCCCTGACAATTGTTCATTCACAATTATCTCTGGATATGGAAGTACACAGAACCACCCAGTGTTGTCCCTTAATTCCAAACAGATTATTTCATGCTGCCTTTGCATAACAATCCTAACTCCTCATAACAATCAGGATTGGTTTCTTCATATATGATTGCTTCTGCTGTCATTTGTTTTTCTGAAGACAAAAGAAATCATCTTAACTGAAATATGTTATATTTGCATAATAGAGTTGTGACAGATTGACTGTGTTGACAGCCTCATTTTCAGTCTTCCCAACTTAGGTGGGGCAATCAGCATTATCTCTCTACAGTAGACTAAGCTACATGAGATGATGCTATAATCAAGAGATTGCTAACAAACTTGATGTAAATAGGAGCTTTAAAACATATTTGTGCTCTTATGTTCCCCTTTTTGTAGGCCTACTGCCATAAGAACATACCCAGCATACCTTTGAGAGTTCAAAGTCCAAACAGCAGAAATGAGTCAACCTAGTCAAGATTATTCTAAACCACTCTGTGATAACCACAAAAACACATGAGGATGCTCAATAGGTATCAGTTATGCCTGACCTGGATAAACATAACTACTTTACGGTCTCAAAATATAAATAAACAGTGGTTATTTTAAATTGTTAAATTTTAGAGGGGGTTGTTATATAACAATAGCTAACTATTACAGGAGTATTCAGCAGCTGTATAAAGAAGCAAAAAGGAGGACCAGTGGTTAGTGTAATGGCTATGTCGCTGGACTCCCATGTAGTCGACTGTGGTTCGAGTCCTGGACCTGGCAGTTTAAACTCACGCCAGGCGCATGTGCGTGTATACCCAATATCCCAAGAGGAGAATGGAGGAGAAGGGATTGCAGCGTGGCCCCATCCTCCCAGGGGGTTATTTCTCGCTTTCTGTCTCTCAGTCTCTCTCTGTCTGGCAAACGCACATACCCTTTAGCAAAAAAAAAAAAAAAAAAAAAAAGCAAAAAGGTTCTCTATATAGTATGACTGTTACTCAAGAAATATTGTTAAGTGAAAACAGAAATTTGTAATATAGTGCACATATTAGATCTCTGTAATGTAAGCATTTATAAATAATATTAATTGTACAATATAACTATTAATCTATTAATAATATATATTAATGATTAAAGTGGATATCTGTAGATGCTAGAACTCATTGAATGCACTTTGATTTTTATGCTTGAATTTACTAACATACAAATATTTTAAATAAATAAAAATAATTTAAAATATATCTAAATAAATAAACAAATTGAAGTACAGGAGCCTAATTTTGTCCACACCTGGTGACATATAAAAGTCCAAGTAATCACACAAATAATATTTTGCTTTTATATTCTTCTTAGGATATATCCTAAAACAAAAGAGAAGTAACAATTATCTCTTTATGTATGACGTATTACAATGTTGATACTGTAAATATTAATATAAATATGTATATCTAATAAATATTTATCTAGCAACCATAAAATATTACTCTTTTCCAAAGATAATATCAGAATCACATCAACCCTGTACATTTACCTGGAGGTAGTATAAAGAATAGAGGAATATAAGCAAAAAGAAGGCAAGGGATAAATCAACTATATCCATAATTTAGAAATTTTATAGGAAAATAAATTCTTCAAGAAATGAAATGTATGGAAAAAATATTTAATAACTATTGTATCTTTTGAAAAACTTAAAAAATATTATAATTAAGTGTAATGAGTCCCAAAGTGAAAGAAATAAATTGTTATGAAAATGTATGTGTGGGGAACCAGCAGTTAGCGTAATGGCTATGTCGCTGGACTCCCACGTAGTCGACCGCGGTTCGCGTCCAGACACGGTGGCTTAAAACTCACGCCAGGCACGTGTGCGTGCGTGCCCAAGATCCCGAGAGGAGAATGGAGGAGAAGGGATTGCGGCGTGGCCATCCCCCCTGGGGAGTGATTTCTCGCTTTCTGTCTCTCTGTCTCTCTCTGTCTATCTGGTGAGCGCACGCACCCTATAGCAAAAACCTCTCAAAAAAAAAAATGTATGTGTGAAGCAATCAAGGAAAACTGAGCGTAAATCATCAGAAAATGCCAAGGAGTTTTAAAATGTCATCAATGTGGCAATGGTGCTATGTCTACACATGTGCTTAGCACTCCTGATGAAACAGTTATACACTGAAATATTGTATGAAAAATGCTACCTATTCTGGGATGTGTTTCAAAATATTCAATAGAACTTACAATAACTAAACAAAAGAGTATAGAAAAAAGGGAGCTAAAGGCAGAATATTGACAGTTATCCTGTTATTAAACCCCAGGGATGTGCTATGAAGCTTCAAAATATAATTCTACTCACTGTTAAGCCTGCATGACTCTTTACTTAATAAAGTAAATGAGGAACAAGGAAAAAAAAAAACCTAACTTTGCTGAATAAGTTCTACTGTAGATGAAATGTTTTCTTTTTGTAGAAGATTCTGCATAATGTATACAGAAGTAATACTAGAATTTTTGTTTTTAAATCAACATTTTAGGATCTAGTCAATGATTAAACTGGATAAAAACTAGTCAGAGATTTTAAACTAAATATGATAAGTTTTACTTTTTCTTTTTCTTTTTTTTTTTTTTTTAGTAAGTTTTAAAAGAAGAATAAGGAAAACACACTAAAGGCGCATGGTTTGATCCTAGGCATGCTGACTCAAGAGCAGATGCTTATAAGGTCTCATGTGGTTTTATGAAGCAAAGATACAGAAGTACACTAATGCAAATTACTAGGAAATATGTGGTCAGCTGATCCTGAGATGGGTCCCACCCACCTGAGGGCATTATATAAAAGGACCTGTGCAGTTGGTGATGGACAAACTGAAGAAACTTATTTCTTACTCCTCAGCCAAATCCTCAACTACTGAAACCATGTGCTACTACGGCAACTACTACAGAGGCCTTGGCTGTGGCTATGGCTGTGGCTACGGAGGCCTTGGCTGTGGCTATGGCTGTGG